CAAAACGTTAGCACAAGGACAAATAGACAGCAAATAAAGGTTAGAAAAATTAAATAGACAAATATACAATACAAAAAAGGAAAAGAAAAAACACGGAAAACTTAAAAGATATTGTGGCACCCTGCATTACTAGAAAAACTAAAAAGAAATATTCCTAGAAATATGATTTAATTTTTATTCGGTTTATTAACCAGTTTTTAGTTATTTAGACGAAGAGTAATTAAGTTTTGAGAATATTTCTCTAATTGAATTTAGGCGATCCTAAGGGAAGAAGAAGAAAAGAAAAGGAGAGGAGGAGAAATAGATAAGCCGGTCATAAGCGAAAACAGGTGTCAAGAGATATCTAGGCCAACGCGCCTGACCGAATTTCAAGAACAATGGAAATTGTTATTTGAAAGAATAAGTTTAGAGATAATGAACGGACATGGTAAAAGTGGATGAACATACGTACGATTGATAAAAATATCGGTCAAAACATCTGGCCTACTTTTGTGTCCACGGAATGTGGGAGCTCATTATCAATTTGGAGAAATGGGATTTTTAGAACAATGGAAAACGAAATATTAATCGGAAAGGGGTGTCTTTTGGGATGAGAAGGTGACCGCTGGAATTGTATATAGATCCTGACCTGTTGAAGATTAGAACCCCCACGATGATAAAGTGAAGATATTTTCAATTCAGATAATTAAGATTTTGACTATCAGGTCTGAGCAAAAACAAAGAAATGAAAACAATTGTTCTAGCTCACAGAGAGCGCCAGCGAGACGAGAGAAATTCTTCCTGAAGTCACATCTAATTAGCGGCGGGCTGTTTTGACAAAAACCAAAAGGTGAGAAAGGCCGAGATTGTCATTTTCGTGCGTGCAAAAAAAGGCCAAATTGGATTTTGTTTTTTTTAGCAAGGTGTTTCTTTCCCAGAACAAAGCCGGGATAGACCACGCCCGATTGGAGACGTCACGAAGGACGGGAGACGCCCAACCAGAATCTCATTAGCCGAAAGCGGTCACGTGATATGCGAGAAAGAGGAGAAAGGACGCTCGACCAGGACCCATTGGTCGAAAACGGTCACCTGACATACGAGAGACCGGGAGAGATGGGTATGCGCCTCCCCCCCAGAGGCACTGTGAGGAAGTAGGGGTGAAAATAAGAGCGATAATGGGAAATCAGAACTAATGCGACTTTTGGAATTATCAAGAAACCCTGACGCCGACAGACCCACCCCAGTTTGTTGCGGCGTCAATAAAAGCAGAACCCCAATCGACAGAAATCAGTTCAGCCCCGGAAGGCAGAGAGAAGAGTTCACCTCAGACGGCAGAGAGAAGAGTTCGGACCTTGGCGAGAAGAGTTGCAGGACGGAAGAAGAAGAAGAAGTTACTTGCAGTTGCGTCTAGAAGAAGTTGAAACCAGGCCAAGCCTGAGGGTGGAAATTCGTCCAACCCAAATCGAAGTGAAGAAATACGTCCAACTCAAGCCGAAGCGAATAAGCTCGTCCAACTCAAGCCGAAGAGAAGAATCAGCCGTGAACGACTGGTAGAGATTAGCGCCCAGTGTCGAAACCAAACCACACTCCGACATACAAAATTCTAGAGAGTAGGCAACTCGAAGTCTTTAAATTGTATGATAGAAGCTTGGTGCCACAGTCCACAAAACGGGTCGGGAAGTAAGAATAATTTTTATGTAACGAACATTAGATATAAAAGGTTGTTACCCTTTCTTATCAGTAATTTTTTGCCTCGTGAGTTTTTTTTCTTTTACTTGTGTGTTGCCACCCCCGTTGAACCCAGCTGGCATACGGCCCCGACTCCTGTTTGATCCCGTCTGTCTAAGATCTAATCACAACGTGGGTAGGCAGACCGGAGATCAGTACAGTTACCCTAGTAACCAGGTGTTGGGAGCGAGTTGGGAACGGCGAGGCTGGTAATCATCTAACCAGAGGGTTGGAACGTCACACTTGGAGCAGCGAGGAGCGAACAGCTGACGCCGCGGCAAAAAACGTCACAACTGGTGCTGTCCGTGACAAGGATCGACCCTTGGGCGGCCACATCACGTCACGTCACAGTTGGAGCCGCGAACGAGATCGAACGACAGAGTCGACGCTGCGACCAAGGAGGGGCGACGTCACATATTAAAAAGGAAAGAATAAAAGAATTATTAATGGTAAGTGAAAACAAAAACGAAACACAGACAGGGGTTATGGAACAAAAGAAAACGGAGATATAATTAAACGAGAAATTAGAGAAAATGAAAAAACAAAAAGGAAAAAAAGGAATAAAAAAAATTAAAGTTGATAAAAATTTTAAAAAAAGAGGAGGGTAAAAAAAGGAAAAGAAAAAATCAAAATCTTTTCAAAAAAATTCGTAAGAACACAAAAAGACAGTAATAAAAACAAACTTAACAAAAATGACGTTCAATACGCAAGGGACAATATCAAAAGCGCAGACGGGCGTCAAAATAGCAGTCAACAAAGGTCTAGCAAAAACTCGTACTACACAGAATTGAACTGCTACTGCCGTTGGCTAACAGTGAGAGAGTTTATATAGTGATGCATAGGTTCCAGTGAGCTTGGCGCCAAAAATATAGAAAGATACTGAAATACGCGATTGGTCAGAAAATAGACCAATCCGTGATTTTAGAGAAAAATTCAAATGATGTGCGATGGCAAAATTGTCATGTGGTAAGTATCATATATTTATGAACCAATGACATTAAAGAAAGTGGAGGTGTGGCACATGTAAGTGATCACCACAATACCCCCTCAAGATTGAAAAGTCAGGGAAGAAAGAGTTTTCAATATGTAATGAAATTCTGAACTTCTTAGGCCAGTGGACGGTACATCCGCTAGCAGTCCTAGTAGGTGCTGGTGACGAAAGCTGAGGGCTGTCTAGCAAAGTGCTTGTAGGTTGATTGGTTGATCCATCGCGTTCAATACATGCAGGTTTTAGGCAATCGATAGAGAAAGTCGATCGGCCGTGGTTAGTCTGTAGAGTATAATATTTATCGGTTCGGGCAAGGACATGAAATGGACCCGCATAATGTGGTGTCAGTGGCTTTCTAACAGAATCCTGTTGTACAAAAACGTACTAAGGAGGGAGGCACATAAACGTCACGTGAAGTGTAACGGGTTGGAGTAAAAGCAAGAGAAGACATTTTTTTTTCGAAAATAGGTGATAAAACTGGATGAAGGTTCTTGTGTAGATGTTACGGAGAAATATTGTCCTAGTAGTACCAGCTGCTTTCCGAAAACTAGATCAGCAGGCGAGCATTTCAGATCTTCTTTAACTTGTGTGCGAAGTGAAAGTAAGACAAAAGGTAAGTTGTCTATCCAAGAGGATTGGTTAGTAGTGCCGATGCTGGTCAAAGCAGCCTTAAGTTGGCGGTGGAACCGCTCAACTAGGCCATTGGAACATGGATGGTAAGAAGTTGTTGATATATGACGAGCTCCAAGTAAGTTAGTAAATTCTGTGAATAGCTGAGATTGGAACTGTGGTTCCCGATCAGTGGTAATGATTGAGGGGCATCCGTAAATGGAAATCCAATGTTGAAATATGGCTCGGGCCACGGATTCAGTGGTAGTGCCGGCCATCTCGTAAATCTATCTATAATTGTCAAAATGTATAGGCCAGACAAAATGGTCTGCAATTAACCAAAGTGTGGCTTTACGACCAGGGTGGGACAACAAATGAAAGTGGTCGAATATTCGTCGCCGCATGTTGGTTGGGATGACGGGTCGAGGGTTACGGAGACTGGTGTCGCATGCGATAAGCTTATCAGTAAAGGGCAAGGGATGATGCTCAATATGTAGTGACGAATTTCGAAGTGAGTTGAGCAAAGTTATCCCCCGTACTTGTTCATCCGCGATATTTTCCATGTCTAAAGTAGCTTGCAGGCTTCCACACAAGGATGCTCTGGAAGGTGTATTGGCAGCAATGTTATCCTTTCCTTTAATGTGACGTATATCTGATGTAAACTGAGATATATAATCAAGATACCTGTAGTCCCGAGGATTGTACTTGTCTGATTTAGTTGAAAGGGCAAAAGTGAGGGGCTTGTGACCTGTGTAGATCACAAAGTGTCTACCCTCTAAAAGGTGTTTGAAAAACTTAATTGACAAGTATATAGCTAAATGTTCCCTTGAAAAGGTACTATACTTCTTCTGTGTGGAGGTCAACTTAACGAAGAAGGAATTTGGCAAAGATTTAGCGTCAACATGTTGGTGTAAAACTGCGCCTATGGCGTCAGAAGATACGTCAGTCGTTAATGATAGCTGAGTGGTAACACCGTCAGTGAGGCATGAAAGTTTCGTAAAGTTGACCAATGCTTTACGAGAATTGTGTCGTTGTTCCAACAAATAGGAGTATTTTTACAGTCTTGCCCGCGAAGGATATTCGTCAGGGGTGCAAGAATTTGTGAATAACGTGGGATGAATTGACGATAATAATTAATTAAGCCAATGTATCTGCGAAGCTGTCGAAGCGTGGAGGGCTTCGGAAATTCCTGAATAGCACGTATCCTTTCAGGCAGGGGAGTAATACCTGTAGCACCAATGACGAAATCGAGAAAGTGGAGTTGCGAAACGGCAAACTCGCACTTCTCTGGGTTGATTTTTAAACCAAAGTTCTGAAGACGATCAAAGACTTGCTGAATATGTTTACGATGCTCCTGTAAATTAGGGCTAGCTATTAGTAGATCATCAATATATGCGAAAGTGAAAGATAGTTCACGAAGTACCTCATCTATAAGGCGTTGGAATGATTGAGCTGCGTTGCGCAGTCCAAAAGGCATACGCAGAAACTCGAATAAACCAAACGGCGTGGTAATCGCAGTTTGGGAATATCTTCGTCAGCGACTGGGATCTGGTGAAAGGCTTTGCGCAGATACAGTTTAGTGAAGACAGATGCTCCCTGTAAGGTAACAGCAAAATCGGTCAAATTGGGAACTGGGTACCGTTTGTGAATTAAGACGTCTATAGTTGCCACACTTATCCAGGCGCCCTGCTGGGCCTTAGTGACCATGTGAAGCAGTGAGGCATATGGACTCGAGGAGGGGGCGAATAATCCCTAGGTCGAGCATGTGTTGGAACTCGGCCCGGGCAATCTTGTATTTGTCTGGCGCAAGACGGCGAGGTTTAGAATAGACAGGCTGTTCGGTAGTTCGAATCCTGTATACAGTGCTGTGCTTGACAGGCTCTGTATAAGTAAAAGGCTGTATCAACGAGGGAAATCTATCCAGAATATCTTGAATTGAATTATCACGCAACACAGCGATGTGTAATTCCGTAGATGTTAGCTGTGATATAATTCCGCGGTTAGATAGCTTCGTGGTGGAGTCAGATAACTGACGCTGTGAGAGGTCCACGATGAGTTGATAATGTGCCAAAAAGTCGGCGCCTAAAATGGGGAATTTCACGTCTGCAACGGTGAATATCCATTGGTATGTCCTTCTAAGTCCAATATCCAGTGTTAACGATTGTTCGCCAAAAGTCTTGATGTTCGTGCCATTAGCGGCGCGTAAGGTGACTGAAGAGTTAGTCTTAGTGAAGTTGGGTGACGGTGGAACAACACTAAGCTGTGCTCCCGTATCTATCAGGAATGACATGTTAGAATTCCTGTCTTTTATATAGAAGAGACGGTTAGTAGTATGTGTCCCAACAGTAGATGCCGCCTTCAAGGGATCGGCGTTTCCCGCTTTCCGTGATGCCTTGGGTGAAGGCTGGCATCTGTGGGCTCTATCACCATAGTTAAGATGGTACCAGCATAGCATGGGTCGGCGAGTAGCAGAATGAGAGCGTCGCCGTACCTTGTATGAGTTTTTATCCTCTGCTCTGGTAAGGTGCTGTACTTGAGTGGAAAGCCTCTCGAGTTGCTGTTTCAGCTGTTTTATTACATCCATCATAGCAGCGTCAGTGGGTACAGGGGAGTCCACGCTGCTAATGGTGGATACGTCGTTAATTTTGTCAGCGATCTCAGCAGTCCTCGAGAGATCCAAGTCATCGGGTAGGGTAGCCAGAATCTGTGATGTGTATGGCGGTAGCTTATCCAGCCAAAGCTTGCGGAATAGTGATTCCGACATAGAGTTCTTCCCTAATAGATTCTTCATACGTCTAAGCAACTGCGACGGGCGGCTATCTCCGAGCTGTATAGTATTAAATAGATCGTGCAACGCAACCTACGCTCATGCGATTTCCCAGTACGGTAGATGATGGCTTCCTTTAGTATATCAAAGGGGTTATGAGCAGGAACGGCTTCCAAAAGGTCCAGCACGTCAGCAGTGATTATCACGGGGTTCTGGCTGCTTCAACCAAAATCATGTGAATTCCAAAGTTCCTTCTAGTTTACTCAGCTATATTTTAATTTTTAATCGATAAAAATTATTTCGGCCATTTCCATTGTTCTCTGATGATCCAAATTCAATGGGTACAACTTCTGCCCTAGATCAGATTTCCCCATCAGTAAACAAAAAGCTCTGATTTAATTTTGCTATTCAACTCTACTCCAATTTCACTAAAAAAAAAAAAAAAATATACATGTGTATTTCTCAGACTCTCTCTGTCACAATGACATCAGTAGGATTTAAATCCATAATAAACCCAGTAAGATTTAGCATATTCAGTAGAACTGAATTTTTTCTACCCTGTTTCACAACCTCAAGAAGGTTGTGGTGATAAGATTAATGTGTTTATCAAAATCCCAGTTATGGCCAGGAACTATCCACATAACAGGTTATGCTACCAAATTAATATTGATTCTTACCAAAATGCTTAAACCTAAAATCTGACTGGAGGTATTTTTGGAAGGGCCATGTCTGGTCAAAGGTGCTTTTTGACATGGTCATGTGAGTTCCTAACAAGATACTTTATGAGAAAATATCCATCAATATCATTTCCCCAAACAGAAGTCATATAAGTCAGAACCCACAGTTGCTTTGTCAACTCATGTCACAGAATTTTTCACTGAATCCAGAGAGAACTTTGTCTTTCTCTCTATAAGCTGAAAGAATCTCCAACACACACACAAGCATTTAACTCTGCTGTTAAACGTCTCAAGAATCTTAGTTGAAAATCACCAAAGTGATTGTAACGTTTGACAGACTATTATATCTATATTGTACCATCAATATATATATATATATATATATATATATATATATTACACGTTTCATTAAAGACAAACAAGGTACTATCATCAAGCTTTTTATTTCATTTTTCTTGTGTTTGAACAAGTGTTTTCTTTTTTGGTAATAAAAACTGTAATAGAAACTGTCCAAATGTTCTATAGGTGCTTTCAGCTATACTTTTAGTCATTATCAAGGATGATTTATTTTTTCAATTTAATTGGGTGTGTATGTTTGTAGTGTTATAAAGATGTTTTATTTTCCAAACACAGCCCATTGTGGCTGTGTTCATAGTTAATATTATTTGGCTTTTTCTTTTTTTATTATTAAGGCTTCCAAAATTTTTATTTTTATTTTATTTTTTTACATATGGATGAGGTTATTATGTTTGTATTTTCTACTGGTATGTTTTAGATGGAGTAGAGTTGTGGCCAGATAGGTGCAACGTAACGTGTCTGTATACAAATGTTGTCAATGTTATTTATGAATTTGGTTTGCTCAGAAACACAGTTCTTTAAAGGACATTTGAACTCATAGATAATGTTGGTTCGTTGTAATTTTGATTTGGATGGTGTGTTGTTATTTTTGAGGATAAGGTTAGGTGTCTTAAATTTTTTGTAGTAGATAATTAATTTGATGTTTTTTGTTCAGGTCAATTGGAGTAGTGTATTTCTTTATGATATTATCATATCATAAAGAAATATTTGGAGTAGTGTATTTCTTTATAATATGAAAAAATATCAAAAAATCACTTGTTTGAACACAAGAAAAATTAAATAAAAAGCTTAATCGTAGCACCTTATTTGTTGTCTTTAATGAAACATGTATAAATGAAGGATTGCTGCGTAAATACACACACACAGATATATTTTGAGAAAACAACACATTCCCTAACTAGCTAAGCTTTCCCAGTCTTTTGTAAGCAGAGACCAAGAAGTTCCATTATAGTAATAGTGAAAGATTAGGAAACTAAACTTTTCATATTTACCCTCATGGAGAGAGAGCAAATAAATACCTTAATCAATTAACAAAAATAGTATCAAAATATTGATGGAAATACAGAAAAAATTTATTTGTGATATGTTTTAATTGAATTTTTTATATTAAACTTAAAATTTGTTCAGAAAACTAACAAATTGAACATTTTTTTTAAAAAAAACAACAAAAATAGTTCAGGGTTCTTCCTATGATATCAATGCATAATTTTACTTTCATACTTGAAATCTTCCATGTTAATCCATATTTGAGATAGCTTATCTGCTATGTTATACCCCTCTTCAATTAACAAATATAAAAAGTAAAAATATTTAAAATTTTAATGATTTTCTTTTTCTAAAAATAAAAACTCCAAGATGTGTGATTTATTTCATGACATTATTTACATTTAATTGCTACACCAGAAAACTACACAATAGACAAGAGCATTAAAACATTCATGACGATACTTATTTAGAAAACAATCTTAAAGAGATGTGTTTTTTTTAAAATTCAGAATTGTGCTACAAACATGATTTAATGAAGGTTGAAGATTCAATAGCAAATTGTATTAAAGGGCTTTCTAGAAATTACATTTTTATAGTGGTTAATTATTTTGCTTTGTAAAATGTATATGTTGAAAATACTTGTTTACTGACTTTTTCAATATCTGTCTATATCTCTGAGATGAGGTATTATTACTTGCATTATTTACATTATTCAGACTGTTATCCTCAACTTCACAACATTTTGGCCTTTGTATGCTGCAACCTTCTTCAGGTAATTCAAATTTCAAACCGAACCCTTTATTTTGTCCATCGAGGAAGATTGTTCTAGTTCCACATGCCATGCCACTTCCAGATGTCTCAGTTATTTCCCTTTAACTAAACTCTCCACGTTTTTGGTTCACCACTGCTGTGGCCTGGTATTGAACTCACAACTAGTCACTGGATCTAATCAACATCTTTATTCACTGGGCCATATCTCCTTGAGAACAACAGCTAGAACATTGTGAATATGGCACTGAAGATGAGGATAACAATCTGAATAATGTAAATAGTACAAGTGACATTTTTATTTATTCTCTAGGTAGCCTGTGTAAACATATTGAGCATTCAAAAAGTTCTAAGCCTCACCCAGGTGTTGGAGAAACAAGACAATTTTTCACTATTTTTCATTATATTCCCTTTTGACATCAAGGCACTTGGTCCAACAATGTTTAAGCATTGCAATCCCATCACAGTTGTTATCTTGGTCCTCCAAAACCCCTCCACAGCACATGATTTCATTGTTTCCAAAATGGTGACCATGCAGGAGGGATTTAAGTTTAGGAAACAGGGAAGTCAGATGGAGCTAAGTCTGGTGAGCAAGGGGGATGGGGTAGCAATTCAAAGCCACAATTGGCTGCTTCAGCTACTGCAACCTGAGCAGTGTGAATGGGCACATTATCCTGGAGCAAGAGTTGGAGCACACTTGCCTTTAGCTTTGGTTTCCTTCAGTTGTCATAATTCTGTTGCATACTACTCTTTTAATACTTTTCCCAGGTAATCTATCAGGATTACACAATCAGAATCCCAAAAACCAGAAGCCATCACCTTACCAACAGATACTGCCTATTTAAACTCCTTTGGGAGTGGTAAACCAGTGTTTCCACTGCTTTATTTGAATCTTTGATTCAAGTCCGAAGTGGTGAACCCAGGTTTCATCTTGAATCTGCAATGAAAATTCTCAGGTTTAGCCTGGAAGTCAGTCAGAAGTGTCCTGGAAAGGTCAGCTTCTACTTTAGTGTCAGCATTCTTGAGGCCCATTTTGCTCATCCCCAAGATCTCAGTTAAAACAGTATTGACCAAACCACAAATAATGCTTGTGAACCTAGCTACCTGCTGGACAGTAAATCATCTGTCATCCAAAACCATACATCGAATGGCATCAACTTGTTTATCAGGGATTGATGACAACCTGACCGGAGGTGTTCATCTGTGCTGTTACTGCGCTACTTGAATTCTACAGCCCACTTCTTCACAGTCACATAAGAAGGGGAGTCCTTGGCAAGTATCTATATCATGTCCTTATGGATTTTCTTGGGTGTCATACCTTTCTTTTGCAAATACTTTATGACTGCTTTGGCTATTTTTAGATTTGTCACATACCCCTCAACTTTGTATGAGCCTAACCTGCATGGAAATTAAAATGGAAATCTGAATTAGTTTTTCTAGTACAATGTAACCCTCACCCAAGCTTCTCCATGATCAACCACATTGCATTTCAATCTTCAATCTTGACAATGTTTGCTAAATGCTGTGGAAGGGCATGCCACATGCTCACAAGGTAAAACTATGAATGAAATTTGTCACATCCAGAAATAAGAACGCAAATCCTGTTTTTATATATATAATTGTTTTATTCAGGGCTTCACCTGCTCCTCTGCATGGGTAGGTAGATGATACTGGGGACAACTTCTGCTATGTCAGCTCTTCTCTCTACCAACTCTTTGATCATCTACTTATCTTGACATAGTCGATGACTGGCATTACAAAAATGGATACTTTGGAATTGCGACACAGACATATCCATCTCCTGCCAAGGGCAGACAAGCACTCTCCCTGATCCCAAGCATGACCAGCACCCAAATATAACTTATCTCCAATTTTTTTTTGCCACTAGATCTGCAAAAATCCCTCATCCACTCCCTTTACTTCCCATTACCCTATGAATGCAGCTTAGAAGACCGAACTTCAAAAGGACCCATTCACTGGTCTATCAAACAAACACTTGAGATCGAGATAAATCTAGTTCTTCCCCTTCTATGTGGGTGGCCATAGTATCACAAATGTTTGGTTACTTATCACAAATAGTGATGAATTTTTTTTCTTTTCTGTTGACTTATTACAGTCAAGTGAGATAAGTGATATTTGGTTAAAGAAATTACAAGGTTAAAAAAAATTGTTTCTATTGAGTGGCCTTCTTTCATTGTAACCTTTAAG